ATTCGTGAATCCTTGGTCTTGGAGGAAGCAACACCGCAACACACCTAGATCTCTAAGCCTTGGAGGACCAAGATAGAGAGGAAGAGGGGAAGAGGGGAAGAGGGGAAGAGGGAAAGGTGATGAAAGAACCCGAAAATCACTACAAGAAAAATTATTTTTAGTGACAAAAATTTGTGATAAATTTTAAAATCATCACTATAACTTATTATAATCATGACAAATTTAAAAAATTAGTCACAAATACATATATATTTAATGATAAACAAAAAAATTTATTATAAAAAACATATTTTGTCACTAAAAAATATTCATAAAGATAAAATAAGTTTTTGTCGATAAAAATCATCACTATAATACATTACAATTATGATAAAATTCTAATATTGGCCACATATACCTTACATATTCAATAATGACAAATAATTTATCACTAAAAAATATATTTCGTCATTAGAAACTATCAATTTTCTCTAATCAATGCATCCCACATCGATAAAAAACACATAAGAGAACAAAGTTTTGCATTATAAATATATTCCACATCAATAAAAAATATTTAAAAAAATAAATTTTTGTATTATAAAACATGTGAATCTCAATAAAACTTGATATTAGCTTGGATCTGATTAATTTTAATCGAGCTTGATTAATTTTAATCGAGTTTGATTAATTTTAATCAAAATTGATTAGTATTGAAATAATAATATTTTTTATTAAACTTTTGTGATAAATTTATATATTATTTTTTGTGATAATTTTTGTTAAAATATTTGTGTTGTAATTATATAAATATCTTTTTTATTTAATATCAATTTTAATAATTAATGACTAAATTTTGCATCATAATTGCATTTGTGATGAATATTTTTTTGTGATGAATAAAATTGTTATAAATAACTTGTTAACAATGTCAATTTTTTCTATTACTATAAAATTATTTTTTTGTAACAAGTGTTTAATTTATCATTAAGAGCATTAGCAACAAGGGCTTTACTAACGATTTAAATTTTAACACTAATAATAATTTGTGACAAAAAATAAAGATTTAATGATCAATAATTTAATCACTAAATGTGAATTTTCTTGTAGTGAATGATATTTTGTAGTTTCTAAGTATATATAATTTTTTATTAAATAATTCAAGTTGGCAGTGCCAACATGCAAATTTTACAAGTTCAGGTGGTGCTAGTTTGTGATTGAGTAACTGGGGTTTAACATCACGTGCCGGACATGACCTTCCAACATTGAATTTTACCTTATTACCCTAAACTCATAAAGATAGAGGGTTCAAATCCATATATTGTAAGTTAAAGGGTAAAAACCCTCAAACTCAAAAAACTCAAGGGCAAAGTATGGGTTTTTGCCCATGAAATTAATCTCCATTAATTCCCTAGACCTCTGCTTAATTTCTTCCTTGGCTGTAATTTATTAAGTCAATGTCAAGAGTTAAGACTATGAAATGTTGCTTTCAAACAAGGTATTATGTAGATGAAAAAAGTCAGATAATTCGAACAAACGTAACTTTTACATTTGATATTTTGAGGTCATATTTATGTAAATGATATAATGTTGCTCGTAGAATATATTTTTAAAAAGTTTTGAAAAGTGAAAATTGGAGGCTTTTATTAGAATTTAAAAGTCAATTAATTAATCAGCTGATCTTCAAACCAT